GGGGGGGAAGGTTGAGTATTTTAAAGGTTTTAGGAGGCTATTCTTGGCTTTCAGAAATCGTTTCTTTATGTTTTCTTCATTCACTTATTTTTCCTTTTTTTTTACGTTGAAAAAATAGAAATAGAGGGCGCAATTGAAAACGTGTGTTTGGGGTCCTCTATGAATTGTCAAACTTTTGGATCGGACTAAAAGAAATACAGTGTGCCATGTCAAAGCTCTTGGTTTGATTGACGGTGGTGTCTAAATTATCAGGACTTTCCTCCTGCGTCCTGAACTATTTTCCTCTCAACATCGATGGGCGCCGGTGTGGAACCAAGTGGTTTAATCTTGGACACCTTTCACAAACTGTCTAGTAGAGTAGTATGACACTTCAAAGAGGACTCTTGTTCCACTGTCAGTTTTGTTCTTGGTATTGTTGACAAGGAAAATCAGTTACTGTCAGTGTTTTGTTGATCGTGAAAAAGTCTTTTGAGAGATGTCTGTGGGGTCATGATTTGAATAATATGTTGTTTTATAAAGAGCTTAAAACAAATGTTATCGACAAAAGGTGAAAGGAGTGCCTAAAAACAAAGTGCCTGAGCATTATTCTGGTGGGTTTTGGGTGTATTCTTGTCTGAATGTGTGTGTGTGTGTGTGTGTGTGTGTGTGTGTGTGTGTGTGTGTGTGTGTGTGTGTATGTTTGTTTATGTGTCTATGTGTGTATGTGTGTCAGATAGAGACAAAATTAGAGGGAGAAAGGAGAAAAGGAGAGAGTGAGATACAGGGAAGAGGGTAAAGGAGGAAGTGGGAGAAAGGGTGTATACGGAGGATGTGAATATGGAACAAAGACAATGCAAGCAACAAAGAGGAAGAGGAAAAAGAGAAAAATGGAAGAGTGGACGATGAAAGTGGCAGAGACGAGAAAATGGAAGAAAGCGTGAGAAAAAGAGATATTGAAACAGGCAACAAAAGCTAGAGAATGATTTGCGTCTAGAAGCCATCAAGTTTAATATGTCCACTTGTTTTTGTTGGGGGGGGGGGGTGTTTGTTGTTTTGATTTTCTTTTCTGTCCGTTTATATTTAAAACTCTATCTATGGCGAAGCTTTTACCTTTTCGAATAATAAAAATAATAATAACCCCCTCCAAGAATAAAATAAACCCAAAAAGTTAATTGCCCGACGGAAGTGCACTTTAAGACACTTTTAACCTTCACAATAAATCTGGCGATTGCTTCTCAATCAGTTGTCACACTTGTCACCAATCTACACAATCGTTTTTCTCATTTCCGCTGTTCAGTGTCTCCATCTCTCTCCTTAAGGATAATTCCTGGCATTTGGCGTGTGTAGCAACTGTCTTCCTGTTAACCCCTGTGCCATGTTCTGTTGTCTCAGTCGCCATTGTGATGACGAAGTGAAGTTGTCTTTTTTCTGGGCGGGTGCGCAGCGCAGCGAGTGAGTTCTTGCGGGAAGGAAGATACAAACAGACAGACGCACATAGTGACATGCAGAAAAAAGGGCAGGGCTGCGTTTTGCATGATTTCTTAAAATGAAATGTTATGTTTTTTATTCAGTCTATGTGTGTTTTTGTGTGCACGTGTGTGTATGTGTGTGTGTGTG